ATTAACCATCCAAGCTATGGCTTTCAAAGTGTTTCGACCATGACCCACATTAAGAAATATATTTTATTTTGCACCCTGGAACAAACACATACACACACACACACACACACACACACACACACACACACACACACACACCTGAAATAGCAACATGAACAATACTTTCTCATACCACGTATGGTAAATTCTGATGTCATTTATCCCATTTATTTTTTTCTTTATAGTTCTATTTTTTGAGAAAAAAGTCATATAATATCAAATTAACCATGTTAAAGTGTACAATTTGGTGGCATTTAGTATATTCACACTGTTGTGCAACCATATCTCAAGTTCCAAAACATTTTCATCAACCCAACAGGAAATCCTGTATTCATTTAACAGTCACTACATCCGTGATTTGTAACAGAAACAAAGAACTGGATTCTGACTATTTATCATAATACTACAAGAAAGAAAGGGATTGACAGTAGCTGGACACTGCCTGGGGAACATTTAACATCACTAAGGGTAGCTGATCCTAAACCAGGCGAAGTGAGGCCCAAACTTCACTTGTGCATAGAACACTTATGTATCTGATCCTGACTTGTACCCCACATCTTTAAAATAAAATATATTTTTTTTTTGTAGAATGATTTGAGTTCCTCCGGGTATATTCCTATTGGAGAATTGCTGGGTCATATGGAAGGTCAATTTCTTGTTCTTTCAGAAATTATACTCAGTGATCTATCACAGAAACAAAGAATAGAGTACCATATGTTCTCACTCATAAGCGAACCTTGAACAATTATTATAATACTATAAAAAAGGGATTGGCAGTAGTGAGAAATTGCCAGGGGAGGTTGGGGTGGGATTGGCAGCCGAGGGAAACTGCTAGGGGAGGGAGGGGCATACCTCATCAACAAGGGTGTCTGCATAATCAACGTTTGTATATCTAACCCTGAATTGTACTCCACATCTTTACAATAAAAAAATAAAATAAATGTGCACTTTCCTAAAAAAATAAAATATATTAAAAAACAAAACAGTCATTACAACCTGTCCTCTCCCCACAGACCCTGGCAAGCACTAAATTGCTTTCTGCCTTTTATCTATTTTAGATATCACATAAAAATGAAATCATACAAATGTGACATTTTGTGTCTAGTTTCCATTTTAAAATATTATGCTGAATGCTATATATTGAATTAATTTGACAATTCACCAATGGGCCATCTAGCCATATGCCCTATAGATCTATATAGGACTTCCTTCCCCTTGTCACTCCTCCTTCTAAACACATACTTTCACCAATTCCGTCTCTCCTCCCAGTAAAATTCCTCTGGAAGCTCTTGCCTCCTCTCAGATCCTCATTATCTCTTGCCTGAATTATCATACCATAATAATTATAAGTAGCTTCCATGTCTCCACTCTTTTCTCACTGCAGTTCATTTTCCAACAAGCTGCCAAAAAGATTTTTCTAGCATAAATATATTTGAGTATGTCATATTTCTACTTAAGAAACAAACAAACAAAACCACTCCTGGCCACTTTACTGTCTTAAAAAAAAGTAAAGTACCTTAGCATAGTATGTGAATCCCTTCCTATTCTGTCCAGAACCTGTTGTCCAGCCTCATTTCAGCTACCACTAGTAGTACAGATGATATTTTTTTTATATTTTCCACATGTGAGGGGAGTAAACTTACTATATAGTGAACCTCAGTCAGTACTGATTTGAAACCATAGGTTTCTCCACATATTACAATTATTTTGCATATTAATAAAATGAAACAGGAGGATATGGATCTTAGTTCTTACATTGATTAACATGAGCAACTATGACTCATTGTAACTGAATGTGGATCCACTTTGGAAAAACATTAGTTTTCTGCAAATTATATTTGAGAATAAGCATGGATTAATTGTTGCTCATTACATATATATATATATATTCAATTTTGATGGAAGATCAAGTAAGTATCAACAAACCTAGTGGTAAGTGGAGATGAAAGTAAAAGCACCAATAGTAAGAATATATACAATAATACATACTATGTAGGACAAAGTTGGCCTGAAAATCTGTTTTGATTCCTTAAGATTTGAATACCCAAGAGCTTGTCAAAAATTAGCTTTTTTAAGAGCTAACAAAATGTTGTTAATTTTCTCAGTTTCTGTATTCTTTCCATTAGACTGTTTTTATTTTACTTTTCTATGGCCATTGAGTTTTGTTGCTTAATCAGCACTGAGAGAGTAAGAATAAGACAGATAGAGACCTTCTAAAAAGAATCCTCACCACTACACAATATGTCCATTTAGCGAGTACACATGTGTATCTCCTGAATCTAAAAAAAGGAAAAAAGCCGGACTCGGTGGCTCAGCCTGTAATCCCGCGCCTTTGGAAGGCTAAGGTGAGTGGATTGCCTGAGCCCGCGGGTTCAAGACCCGCCTGGGCAGCGAGACCTCATCTCTACAATAAATCAAAAAAATTAGCCGGGCGTGGTAGCATGCGCCTGTAATTCCGGCTACTGGGAAGGCTGAGGCGGAAGGATCGCCAGAACCCAGCAGGTCGAGGCTGCGGTGGCCGGGAGCAGCCACTGCACTCCAGTCTGGGCGACAGAGTGAAACTCCAACTCAAAAAATAAACAAATAAAAAATAAATAAATTTTAAAAATTAAAAAAGGAAAAAAAGTATAAATATGTCAAATCACAGATATCTGAAAAGTGTACTTGCTACATGCAAATATAAATGGAACTAGTGCCACACCATGTACAGTTAATTAACCTGCCTCAGCATGATATTTAAAGACTGATTATATTTGAAGTCAATTCCAAAGACGTACATACAATTTTAGAAAGATGATAAATTGAATTTACAAAATCATGAACAACCTCCCTTTTTCTCTTTTTTAAGTTTTTATGGTAATAATATAAGTCACATGGAAACCCAGTAAACACAAATAGGAAAATTGATCATCTGCATATTGATATGTTTCATAGGATATTTACTAACCAAATCAAAACACATACTTGCAACTTGATTATTGAAACAAATGCAAGGGTGTCAAACACAAACACTTTTCAATTTCGATTAATCACAAGCTGTGTTTGAAACTAATCTAGTTAAGAGAAAAGTTGAAAACTTGGGGTTAGGAGTTGAAATATAAGTCACCTAATGCAGCTGAAACTCACAGAGTTTTGTATCAATTTGCTTCTGAATTATATTTGAACAATTTTTCTTACAGTAGTACAGAAATCTAGTGTGAAAATATTTCATTCATTTTTTTAAGGCATTACCTATGAGAAAACTTGAGAAATTGGCTTTCTGCGTAAACACAAAGTAAATGTTTATCAAAAAATAATGGGAAGACTGTCATGATTTTTAATGGATTTAATTTATAACAATTAATTACATTTTGGTTATTTTCATATTTTTTTCATTTGTTATCAGTGAAAGAATAAATTCATGATTCACAGAGTTGTTACTCTTGTCATCTAGAATAATAAAACTGAAATATAACATTCTCTTTTCTAAAAGGTGAATCACCATTTACATATATTATATAAGAATCAAGAAAATGATTCTTAATTTGAATGAATGAACTGAATTCTGCTTATCACATATTGTTAATTATATTCTATCATAGGACCATAACATTGTGAAAATTAATAATACATCTGTGGCAGTGATTCTATAGTTTTTATTAGATATTTAATACCTACATATTTTGATCCTAATTAGCTTGTATTATAAGCAAGAGACGGTAAAGAAAGATTTAAGAAAAACTGTACGTAGATAAAATTATTGTATTTTAGCATTGTACTTCAACATTACAGAAAGATAATGCAAGATGACAATTTGAATGCTGTATATTGAAAACATTAGAAATGATTGTTGATTGAGAATTATGAATCCTCTTGATTTTTTTGGCATTTACTCATAATCAATTTGTAACTTGTTAATGTTATAAATGAAAACTTTGTGAATTTATTATTCTTTTATTACTTCTAGACTGTGCTAGCTCTTTGGCTTAATTTAGCAGTTATAAAACAATGGGTTAAACATTACTTCTGAAACTGGAATATATTCCAATATCCAATATGGAATTACATTTGGGCTCAAAAATAAAATAGAGAATCAAGAATTATTTAATTTAGCAAAGTATCATTAGTTCATACATGATTATTCTTATTTTGAAACTCAAAATAGTCATCAAATTATTTGCCATAATGGACACCATAAATAAGGTGCCTTAGGACAACATAAATTTATTGTCTTGTAGTTCTGAAGGCTGGTAGTCTAAAATCAAGGTGCCAGCAGGACCATGCTCTTTCTGAAACCTGTAAGGGAGAATACTTGCCTTTTTTTAGCTGCTGGTGCCTGCCAGCAATCCTTGGCTTTCCTTGACTTGTATATACATCACTCCAGTCTCTACTTCCATTGTCATACGTCCATCTTATTGTGTGTTTTCACCTGGTCTTCTTATAAGGATACCAATCATATCAGGTTAGGGGCCCACCTTAGTCCAGTAAGACCTCATCTTAACTAATTACATATGCAGCGACCTTTTTTTTTTTTTGAGTTGGAGTCTCACTCGGTCACCCAGACTGGAGTGCAGTGTCCGCTCTCGGCCACCGCAGCCGCAGCCTCGACCCGTTGGGCTCCGGCGATCCTTCTGCCTCAGCCTTCCGAGTAGCCGGAATTACAGGCATGCGCTACCACGCCCGGCTGATTTTTTGATTTATTGTAGAGATGAGGTCTCACTGCCCAGGCGGGTCTCGAACCCTCGGGCTCAGGCAATCCACTCACCTCAGCCTCCCAAAAGGCGCAGGATTACAGGTTGAGCCACCGAACCCGGCTATGCAGCGACCTTAACATCACATTCTGAGGCACTGGGGTTTAGTTAGGATTTCAACATATATTTTGGAGTGACACATTTCAATCATAATGGTTATCAAATTTATGGAATCGTTAAGCAAATTTATGAATACCAGCATATTTACTAGCTTTGTTTATTTTCTCACAGGTATGTCACTCAGACCATTCCCTTAGTTAATCCTACACATGAAACCTTAGAATTACAAGCAACAAACAGTAATCCTGAAAATTTTGTCCTGGATATTAACAAAAAAACACAAGTAAGTACATTCAGAAAGCCATGAAATCTACTGTTACCAGAGCATTTTCTAATTCTGACTTTGGGACACTGGTGGAGTATTTTCATTGAATTATTAATAAAGAGTCAATTTCCTAAAATTTAAAATAGGATTGTCCTTTATATGCATCTGTCTCTGAATTTTAATTTATTAATAAGACAATATTTTATAATATAAATTTTTGAAATGATATATGCTAGAGTCATGCTTGTTATCACTGATTACTAAACTGGTTGTGTTTTCCTTATGACCATTTTAATAACTAACTTTTGTAATAGTTTCCAGTAGTATGATTTTTAACTCAACTGATATATTTTTCCAGGGTCAAAAAACTAGTTCTTTTCTAGCTCTTCTTGAATTCTTGCCCACTCTCATCCTTCACCCAGCCACACACACAAACTTTCAGACAATACTAATAGCTATGTCCCCCCTTGCTTTGTCAGCCCCACTTTTTTTTTTTAATCCCTGGGTCCTGGCAGAGGCTAGGACCAGTCAATGGGCTTAAATCACTTTTCTCCTTCCCCTAAGTTACAAAACAAGATCCTTAGTTTAGCAGGGCTGTCGATGTTTCCAAAGTATAGTACGCCAATTATTTACAGTAAATGCCAAATCACATACTTTCTAGTGAACTTCAAAATTATAGTTACAATAGATTATTTTATTAAGGAACCTCACAATAAACTATATAAAGTCCGGCTAGTAGATACAATATTTAAAGGCTTTTACTATTATCGTTAAATGATTAAGAAATACACATGTTGATTTCTTTATTTATATCTTAACACTTGTCTCTTGTCAATCATTGGTTGCCAACTAATAATATCATGATATAAAATTAGTTCTTAACTACCATAGTGTATCAAATAAAAAATCACTAATAGCCAGGTGCAGTGGCTCATGCCAAGACTTTGGGAGGCCGAGGTAAGAGGATTGACTGAGCCCACAGGTTTGAAACCAACCTGGGCAACTTGGCGAGACCTCATCTGTACAATAAATCAAAAAATTAGCGGGGCATGGTGGTGCATGCCTTTGGTTCCAGCTTCTTGGAAGGCTGAGGTAGAAGAATTGCCTGAGCCTAGCAAGTCGAGGTTGCGGTGGCCGTGAGCATGCCACAGCACTCCAACCTGGGCGACAGAGTGAGACTCTGACAAAAAAAATCATTAATTATTATATTGCTAAAATTAGTATATATGCTTTAATCTTAGAGAGATTGGATTAAAATGTACACACATGCCTGTATCAACACCAAATTTTACATAAATTGTATAAAGCATGCTGTTCAGGTTATAGTTTATATATTACTGAAATTCCTCACTAGAGTGTTATTTTTATATTCTTTGTACCTCTACTTTTAGAGAGGAGTCTGATTTGTGGTACAAGGAAAAATAAGTGCAATATATTGCAGATGCCACCTTACATTACCTAAGAATATAAACTCTGCTTTAACTTTCTAGTGTAGTCATTCTTTTCTTCATTTCTCAAACACTATTGAATATTGAATATGCAATTAACTATAATATTAGGAAACGACTCAAAAATTATATATGAGAAAATATATGTTATAAAACAAATAGCTCACATTAATGATAATGATAATAAATAAAAATATATAGAGATAAATATGCGATGTATCTATCCAGAGCACAAATTATATTTTTCATATTTGCTAATTTTGAAGTATATGTGAAATGCAATTTTACTTATCTTTTTTTTGCTAAGACTGATATTTAAATTAATTTATACTCCTAAAGTATATATTAACTGATAACTCCAGAATATTCAAGGTATGAAAGAGGAGTCAACCTGAGATAAAAATATTGGCCATAGATAAACTACAAATTTATAATAAAAGGGTGACTCTCTTCTAAATAAAAAATTAATTTGCATTTGAATTTCATTGTCATCATCAGAGTTTATCGAGCATTCAACTACTGCAAATATTGAATGATACTGCTAAATTGCAATTTTTTCAAAGATTATCTTGCAAAAGTATTAGTGAATAATAATAGACTTCTTTGCAGACATGTGTCACTCATTCTATTATTCTGTAAGTATTGATATTAAATATATTATTTCCAGTGTAGTATTTTAGTTACATAGTATTCTCAAGCCCTCCTTATATTGTGAGAAATGTCTAAAGAGGTAATTCAAACTAATACTGTGCAAGCTCAAATTATTACAACAGGTCACACCTTGAATGTATATAAGATAGAACGAAGAGGAAACCATTGCACATTGAAGAAGCATGTCTTACATCTATGCTTAGAAACAGTTCATTTCTTTTGACATGTACTTCTTCATGTACTTGCCAAGGCTACAAATTAGGTTCTCGGTAATTTGAAATGCACCACCGGATGAATAGGCTATGGGCTCTTAAATTAAATGCATATTTATTGTATTGGGGACTTTAATTTCACTTTGAAAATTAATTCTGACTTTGACACGGTAAGTACCTCCATGTGGTGATTGTCTAAGATTAGAACATGGTGTGAGCACCACTAAACATCACTTACCATGGGCCCTTTTGCCAATATTCAAGAAGCAGTCATACTGAGAACAGGCAAGGTGTAAGGTAACACATTAATCACACAATCAACCCTGCATCTACCTAACCCACAAAGATGCCAGCTCAAATGCGAGTTAATTCTTGTTTCTTTTTTGCTTCTTCCTGAATTTACACAGCTGATCATAACTCCTCACTCCACCACAGAGTTACCAGTTCGCTTTTATCCTTCTGCCCTTGGAAGAACTGGTCATCAAGCTTGTATTAACTTCTACGGTACTCAGGTATGATAGAATAGTCTTGCACCAGATCAAATTAATTATATCCTTTAATAAACACTAAAATAATAAATCTAATCCATGCAATTAACATCTTTTGCAAGTAAAACAACTTCATTGCAAGTCATCAATTAAACTTTTGAAAATACAATATGCATTATGTATGTGCAGACATCTAAAGAAGGTATTTTTAAATCCATAGCTCACTTGAATGAAGGAGAATATATACCCCTGTTTAAAACATAGATTTTTTTAATGTTAATGTCAAATTGCTGGCATTTATGTTAACTTTCAGACTTGAGTTTTACTTCTCAGTTTCTATAAACCTATATATAAAAATGTAGAGAGTGAAATCTTGCAAATATTGTTATTCGTTCCACTTCCTTTCATCTGTACAGTGTTTCTGAATATTAATGGTTTTGAACAACAATAGTTAAGCATTTTTTGAGCATCTCTAAATGTGCTACATGTCATTCTAAGGATTATCTCAATTCATTCTCACTACAGTTCTAGAAAGGAAGTATTCTCAATCCTACTTTATGGATCAGGAATCTGAGACACAAAAAATTAAGATGATGCAGCTAGAAAAAGGTTGAGCTGAGACCAGGACCCTGAACATTTGGATTCAACTTGGCTTCATGGCTGCTTTTCACAGCTACCTACAGTTTGCCAAGTAATTTTAACTCTCTTACTGCTAGTGAAATTTTCACATAACTTTTTACATTTATATTCTTTTCATTCCTTCTAATGTTGATGAGGAGGAATGTAAATGGAGGGATGTACTTTATATCCTAAAAGATATTAAGAACCTTACACAACCCTGCCATCTGAGGGGCAGTGGAATCAAACATAATACAGGGGTCTTTATGTCAGTGCAGGGCCTGTGGGTGACTCTAACACCTTTTTTTCCAGAAAATTTTAATGTATTTTTACAAAAAAATTTTTGAGGCTGTTATAGTTTCCAAATATTGCAATAACTAACTTATACATGACCTAAAACAAATACCATGGGAATATGCCTGATTCTCAAAAATATTCAAGGAGGCAAACACTATTCTTTCTTATACAGAAGGAAAAGGAAAAATGGAGATTATTTTTCTTTTAGACAAATAATTTTAACAAGGGTGATCTTTTAAGTGATTGCTTCATAGCAGAGTTAGAACCCCTTTGTCTTAATTATTGGGGGCAATTTAGTTGCTTGAATTTCTGGTGGAAAGTGTATCTATTCAAGGATAGTCTTGCCAGTCAGCAGGGGCATGATCAGTTCTGTGTCTTAATAGCTTTAAAAAATCATAGCCTAAAAGTTGAACGTTAAATTCTTTATCAAACAAAAAAAGGACTCAAACTAGTAAATAATCAAGTCAGACCTTTCTTATATCAGTCAAACACCGGTGCTTGATTTCAGTCACTCTGAGTATCTCCTTCCAAGTAGTAGCAAATCTCTAAGGATTCATCCATGATTAGACTTCAATCAATAATTTATCCTTTCAGCTACTAGGTCCAGACCCCTTCAACCTTTTCAACATATTGCTCTAACCTTTGTGATTTTTCTTGCCCTTTTTATCCTTGAATCACTCAAATCTTCCTCTTTATTTAATTCATCCAGTTGACATCATTTGCAAGCAAAACTAGTTCATCATAAAGTATTAATTGAATGAACTTTTGAAAAAATGCAATATGCATTATGTATGAGCAGGCATCTAAAGAAAGTATCTTTTAAAAATAAACTTTAGAGCTTATTTTTCTAAGAGTTTGAGATAACTTTTTACCATCAGAGTACAACCCATATAGACTTCTTTCCCTCTCTTGATTTAACTGATTAAATCTATCTGAACTGACACACAACTGAGTAGCTGATTAATCTAAAATCAACTAATGACAGTTTTTATAGGATACATTTTACTCTTTAATTGTACCACTTTGCTGAACTAAAAAAAATGGCAATGGTTTATGATCTACTTCATTTGTTTCTGATTTCAATCCATGTGAAAAGCTCTGCATAATAAAAAAAATACCATACATATGGTATTATATATATAAAATCCAACTTTAGTGTATACACACACACACACACACACACACACACACACACACACACACATATACATATAAAATCTAACTTTAGTCTCAAGTTGTTTGTGTAGATTTTTAATCCTGTGATTAATTTGATTAGGGTATGACAACTGCAATACCATAAACTTATTATAAAACCAGTCTCTAAATCAGATTATGCTATTGCAAAACAGAATAAGAGAAGCAGTAGAAAACAGTAAATGTGGTAATTGGAACCTCTCTTTAGTCTCAAATATTATGTTATGAGATTTTCTTTCTTCGTTTTCAGCTGTTTCATTTTTATTTTCAAATAATTGCCTTGTTTCTGTGATTCATGCTTGATTGTGTGACTCGTTTCATTCAAAGGTCAGAATAGCAAAAATAAAGAAGATGTAAGATCAGAGTCGTTTTGTAACCCAGCATGAGTCTATGATCTTTGCAGCCTGTGTCTACAGAAAGTTCTGTTGATGCTTAGCAACCTTTAATTCTCCGGAGCTCTGCTCATTGTACAAGCCAGATTTACTATCTTTTGCCTTCACTTGTTTTATCTTTCAGAAATATCAGAATTGTATTTTTAAAAGTTTTACTGTCCTTTAGAAGAAGCTTGAGATAAATATGGGCTGAAACTGTTTCTTATTTTTTAAATGTGTATGTCCACTGGGTGACTCTTTAATTTCCCTCTCTTAACCCATGTGGATATTTAATCAATACTCAGAAAACTGTTGGATTTCAGTGTTCAGTAACGGTGGGATATGATTTAACATAGACATGCCAGTATTCCAGGCCACTTGAGGAAACATGAAAACATGACCTTCTTTTTGTCATTTGACTCATTCCCAATAGTTGAAAGTAACCTGATTCCTGCCATCTAAGATTTATTTTAAAAATAGCCAAATAGTAGATAATTTACTTAAATTAATTGCTAATGTAATTGAACCCTGATGATTGACTTCAGTCAGTTAATTATGTGAAATCAAGTGAGGACATTATAAGTGAAAATGTAGTGAGCTTATATTAAGCTGGTAGTACCTGTGACTAATAAATAATATAACCATTTGAAGATAATATTCAGATAAAATGTGCTTTTAATCCTCTCTACTAAGAGACAGCATTTTGTGGATTTCCTGTCAACAACTCTTCTAATTTGAAACAATCTGGAAACAAGTTTTTCTTTTATTTTTTAAATTTTTTTTATTTATTATAGAGTTGTGGGGTACAAGTGAGGATTTACTACATAAGTAAGCTGCATGCAGGTAAAGTTTTGGGCTTTTCTAGCTGGCCTTTACTCCCACTGGTAGTCGACTAGGTACCCGTTGTGTTGTCACATTCCTTTTCTTTCTAAATTTAAGGTTGTAAATATCTATATAGTTTGAAAAATTATAAACTAAGTCATTTTTAGTTTTTCCTCAGTGACCTTAGCAAAATGTTGATACGTAACTTTAAGATACCCAGAAACGAGTCACAGTTCGCTGTATTCTGAAGAGACTTTTATTCTAAAAGAATACAGAGAAGAGTTTCAAACAGAACGTTGCAGGCTTTTGAAACTCAGGTAAAAATAATAACCACCCTTATAAACAAGCGTACATGCATAATGAACATTTGTATACCTAACCCTGAATTGTACCCCACACCTTTAAAATAAAAAAATTAAATAAAAAAAATAGCCACATTCAGTCTCCTTCACGTACTTTCTGATCCATTCATCCATATCATGTGGTAACAAAATGCACTGTCTAGCTGATGGGGATAAATAATATAGCATGCAATTGCTCATACTTTCTTTTTAATAGGACTTCAATCTGTGCCCCACTTTCTTTGCTTTCATGTAGTAGCTATCTGAATTTCATTTGAAATTCACCCTAAGATTTTGGAAACTAAGTGTAATGTTTGTTACCAAGTTTGTTAGACAAGTTTATTAAAAAGAAAAAGAAAAAAACCTTGAACAAAAACACAAGGTTTTCCATTAAAGTGTCTCTTTTATTTTGCTATGCATTGTTATATGGTATATGTATTAAAGTATATTTGATATTTGAATATTGCTTTTTTGCCCTCTTCTGTTTCAGTGTAAAAACACATAGTTTTTGATTCAGTAAAATCAAAAGCAATTTGGAAAAGAAATAAAAAATAAAATAATGCATGTTAAATATTAACAACAAAGCTTTTCTTATCTGCTCACATTTTATGTGCATCTATTAAGTGCTGTAAAATATGCACAGTCAGTACCATATGTTATTGATGTTTATCTTCAAACAGTTTAATGAATGGAAAGTCTACCTCGCTGGAATAGGAAAATTCCCCCAGCCTCTAGATACAGAAAGACTAACTGCATACATTGGTCTTCAGTCATCTGTTGTTATAACTTTCAAAAATCCCACCAAGGAAGATGTTTTAGTCAATATCATTCTAACAAGTAAGTTGTTTTTATTATAGTTTGCATGTTATTTTATAGATATTTATCAAATTTATTTCATCATAGAATTAAAACATTTTTGAGCTTATGGAAACTTTAGAGATTCATTAGCTGAAGAGCGTTATTTTATAAAAAAGAAAACATGAGATTTGAGAAATGAAGTATCTTGACTGAAATCACAGTTCATAAGTGTTCTTCCAATTTTATCTGTAAATCCAAATATGTAAATTAGTAGATTTGTAAGATTCTTATTATGTTACTCAAATATGCTAATGCTTATTCCTCAAAAGTTTATAGAAACTCTTGTGTTATGATTTTGTTTCCTTTCTGCTTTTTCTTAATAAAGAAACAGTGTATTTGGATTAAATTTTGGCTTTAACCATCCTTATCCTTTTTTTCATGTCATATTGAAGATGCATGCTTTTATATTAGATTATTTAAAGACTTTGATCACTTTGTATTAAGTGACAGAATAATGTGTGTCCTAAATGAAAATTATTCCATCATGAGTTTTTTGAAACACATTTTCAATCTAATATTGGACATTACCAATCTATCTTTTCAACTATAATTACTACTTTGACTAAAACTACCACTTGTGCAACTTTTTGGTTAAAACTATACATATGTTAGTTAAGATTTTTGCTATGAATGACCAACTTACCCTCCAGAATAATTATACCATTGCAATTTATGCTGCCATCAAAAGCATATTATAGATATTACATATTTTTCTGAACCCTGTAAGCTTTAAGAAATAACATTCTTTGATCCCCATCTATTTGATTGGGGGGAAATTGTATCTTATTGTCATTGCAAATTTACTATTTTTTGTATTAATGCTGAAGCTGAACACTTATCTTTTATCTGTTGGGGTTTTGATCATTTCTGATAATTTATTCATGCTCGTAGCAGAAAATAATTTAAAAATTAAGAAAGCAGTGCTATCTCATGTAAAATTTCCACATAAGAAGTTTGACTGTGATGAGGGGAGGTATACCATGTCTAGCAAACAGTTGATCACTGGCTCAAGGAAGTCAACAATGTAAAATGGAAAAGACTTGAGCATATGTCTAAGCAGAAGGAAGAAACCAGAGTTGAGCCAGAGCTTTTTTTTTAAAGATGTTGGATACAATTCAGGATTAGGTATACAAGTGGCCATCATATAGGTAAAGTTTGGCCCTCCCTTTTGTCCCCACTTTGCCTGGTTTGAGATCAGGTTTTTTAATTGATATTAGGTGCCTGAATCAGAATCAGAATCAGAATGAGTATATTTTGTAATGAGTATATCCTTCCCCTGGCAGTTTCTGTGAGCCAGAGTTAAAAGTATAAAGGAGCTAAAATTTAACAAATGGGCTAAGGCTCTGGGAGGACTGGGATCAGAGTAGAGGTAGATTGAAGAGCCAGGAAAAGGAGGGACACTTCTTCCTTTGGACAGGTGAGGATAAGATAAAACAAATGTGAACGTAGGTAAACTGGTAGGTAGTGGAAGGATTTTGGAATTAAGAGCAGTCCTGTTTACATTTTCATCCACTGAGGAAAGGAGATATTTTAGGGAATTTGAGACGTGGAATGGTGGTTTGGAATAACTTGCTGGAGAAAAGGAAAATTGAAGCTGATCAGGTTTAAATATAAAAGGTATTACATTTGGCTGGGATTTAAACCATAAATTTATATAGGAACCAAAAAAAATTGTATTTGTGAAGTTTGTACCAATTGTAGGGATCAGAATTTCTCGTGTGAGAGCACACAAGGCAATCAATAGATCATTCCAGGGAATGAGATTTTTATGGCAGGTACAGCCAAATGGCTTCATAACCATGAAAGTGCTTTAAGAACATGTTTGGAACAAGACTTTAAAGTTAAAAATAAATTGTAAAGTAATGTGTGGCTTCTTAGTTTTCTAAAATTGATCTAAAATTATTTATGCTATAGAACAGAAAAAGAAAAAAACAGTAAACTTGCCAATTAAAAGTTTATCAGTCTTTTGCAACTCAAAACGGTCTCTTTTTAAGTGAATGCACTCTCTCGAGTAAATGTTCAGTCTCTTAGTTTCCCCCCCTTGTTCCTAAAACCTGAGGAGATAAGGTAGGGGCAAAGAAAAATGAAGGACCTTTGATATCTTCTCTCTCTTTCTCTGTCTCTGTATCCTATATTTAAAAGTTCCTTCTTTCTCTTTGCCAGTTATCTGATTTCTCTCTCTGTCATCTACTTTTTGTGAATGCTTTCTGGGCATTATCTACATATATCCCTCTACTGATATTCCTTAGTGACTAAGCCTCACAATTTGGTCTGAATTGTTGAAGGTCTATAGAAAAACATGACTGATAAGCAGAATAAAATATTTAACATATATGCAAAATATGTTCACTACAAAAGGTACTAAACTGATACTTTCTCACTTAAATATATGTAAAAGCCTTTAATTATTTCATAAGACTATGTACTCTCTATCTTTTAAGAGAAAATGTACATTTTTGTAGAGATGCTACAGAATTCAAAGAATCCTCTTAGACAATTTTACGTATAGCAAACTTCTTTTCTTCTGGCAAAATTTATTTAATTTTGTGATTTGAAAATCACAGATATGTATTCACATGCAATAATGCTATGTTTATAATATATGACAATATTAGCATTCATTTACTGTTACCGTATACAGATACTGTTCTGAGTATTTAATTCTGATGATAAATATTTGATTCATTAATAATTATCACCATTTTATAAAGAAAAAAGTGAAGAATGGATAAATTACCCGGAATCATACAGAGACTTTCCAAGTGGAATCGGGATCTGAACTCAGTTTGACTCCTGAGCCTAATAAACATTGGATTCCATAAAGATCAGGGCTTTTCTACCTTAGTACTATTCACGACAAATAGAAAAACTTTTAATTCCTTACCAAATGGTTACTTGTTGGTGTGAGGGAGGGATTTAATAGCATTCTCTCTGTCTCTCTCTCTCTCTCTCATCTCTCTGTCTCTCTATCTCTGTCTCTCTCTCTCTCTCTCTCTCTCTCTCTATCTCTGTCTCTCTCTCTTCCCCCTGCTCCTACCAAGCCAAACCTGGAATAATTACTTCTCCTGCTGGATAGCATGACAGACTGTGCATCTTTATTTAAATATTTGCCATACTTATTGCAGCTACTATTTGTTCTTTCCACAATTCCACAATATTCGTAAGAATTTTGTGGGCGGAGTCTGTGTATTAGTCACTTGTATGGCAAATAAGACAGAGTAGACTTTTGATACTTGTCTGCTAAATGACTGTACCATAAATAAAATATCAAAATTTTGAAAGCTTGGCCAGGTGTAGTGAGTGACTCAGTGGCTCACACCTGTAATTCCCTTGGGAGTTTGAAGTGGCAGGATTGCTTGATACCGGGAGTTTGAGACCAGCCTAGGCAACGTGGCCAGACCTCATTTCTATAAAAAAATCAAAAAATTAGCCAGACATGGTGATGTGAGCCTGTAGTCTCAACTACAAGTATGCTGAGATGGGAGGATCACCAGAGCCCAGGAGGCTGAGGTTGTGGTGAGCCATGATCTTGTCTCTGCACTCCAGCCTCTGCTACTGAGAACCCACCTCAAAAAAAAAAAAAAAAATCAAAAGCTTAGAGACAACACAGAGTAGATATAAAGTGTTAAAGATCTTTTGAATATAAAAGAACATCACATTTGGGAGAGCTAATAAAAATAGAGATAGCCAAGATACCAGCAGCAAAAAATACATTAAAGAATTAAACAATCCAAAGGTTGATAATGACTGAAATTCTAAAAATGCTAGTTTCTTGGAAAAATAGCGAATTATATCAGGATATTGCCAAACATTTCATTACTATTATGAGAAATTTTATCCTCTAGGTAGAGTTTTCAAAGATTTCCAGTACTTTATGACCAGTGTTTTTAAAAACTAACTCTAGAAATATTTGTGGACAATGGATATGAATGGGGAGAGGACAGATTGGAGTTGAAAAGCAAAGCTCCAAAGATTTAAGCCAGTAACAATGGAACAGTCCATGACCACAGGTAGCAGGAAAGCTCACCATAAAGTTTTGGAATTTTCCCAAAATCTGTGGGAGAGAATCTGTTTCTTTAGCAAACATATTTAATATTTCATGCATCCAGACTACTTTTTTTCGAATAACTATGCTATGCTGTAAAGAAATGTTTCTGAAGACTTGTCTATAATTCTGATATTTTTAGTGTTCCAAATGAGTGTTTGATTATCTCCATTTTAAAATAGTTCCATCGCCCAGGCACATTGCTTCACACTTGTAAGCCCAGCACTTTGGGAGACCAAGGTGGGAGGACTGCTTGAGCTCAGGAGTTCAAGACCAACCTGGGCAACATAACAAGTCCTTTTCTCTACAGAAAATTTTTTAAAGTAAAAAAAAAAAAAAAAAAGTAGCTGAGCATGGTGGTGCATGCCTGTAGTCCCAGCTACTCAAAAGGCTGAGGTGGGAAGACCACCCAAAACCAGGAGATAGACGCTGCAATGAGCTGTGATTGTGCCACTCCACTCCAGTCTGGGTGAAAGAATGAGATCCCAACTCAAAAACATAAAATAATCACATGCTAAATATTATCATGGCTATGCTATTTGGAGCAGAAATTGAAGCTTTGTTCATACACTGGATTGTAGCTCTCAACTTCTCTTAGACTTCTCCTGTCTTACCCAGTTTAGGAATAACAGTTTCTAGGCAAGAAGATGTGCAAATTGGAGCAATAGGAACAGGGAAAATTTTTGAAATAGCTTTCACTTGAACATTATGCAAGACAAGGTGTAGAGAAGATCACGTTTTAGAAGTCCAAACAAATCTTAATCCACATCAACTTCAACAAGTGGCTAGGCAGGAGATGGCCTTAACAGTCTGAGGATTGTAAAGACGTCTTCAAAACAAACCATTAATAAATTCTATGAGGAGCAAAACATTTTAGAAAAGGTTTCAAAAACCTGGCAAACTAGAGTTTGTTACAATCTCATTGTGTACCACACTTGAGTTGTTTAAACATGACTGTAGTCAGTCCCCAAAACACCTCTTGGAGATCAGTATTCCTCCTTTTCAGATGTGGAAGCTCAGGTTGAGAAATTCCCCAAAGCCATACAATGAGTAGGTGGTAAAATAGATCTTGAACTTATTATGTCTCACTGTCTTCTTTAGGACTACCTAACTGTAACTCTAAGTTATCTTCTCACAGATAGTACCTTTAAAGACAGTGACACGATCTAAAGTATGGCACCTGTTTGCCCCTCTCTTTGCTCCCTCCCCTTGAATTGCAAGGGTACAGGTCTTCTTCCATTTAAATCACCCAAGAAATGCTCCTATAACAGCTCCTTTCACATTTTCTCAGTTCTTCTGGTCTCTCCTTCCTCTTTTGCACTCTACCATCAGACATTGACTCTACTTGATCCACACATACTTGGACTTTGTCTTGACCTTATTTGGCCTGGCCATGTATCCTTGCTTGGTTACTGGGGTCCACAGACTCAATTCCCACAATCCTCTCTCATCAGTAATTATGTACCCTACCTGAGACCCCATCTCCAAAGTTTTCACCATGCTCAGCTGGGAACAAAGGTAGAGAAAGAAAGAGTCGCCATGAATAAGAAGCAAGAACCTAGGTTGAAACAATAGAAATTAGGGCCTGATATACACATAGTACAAATTTAAGGATATATCTTCATTAGATGTTGGCACCTTAGCTTATAAAACCATATTCCAAACCTGTAAGTTTCTGTGGTTTTTAATGTCAGGAGTTACCTATACACAACTGTATTCATTCTTAAATATTTCCATTTTGGCGTACATGTTGATACAGCAAAAGTCAAATATTCAGTCACTGACTATTTATTAAGCATCTGTTTTGTGCTGGAAACTGCTGTATGCACATTACAAAACTTTCTCTCAATTTGGAAAATATATATATATATGTACATACCAAATATGTGATATTCATTGTTTTTTATTTTATATGATACTCTGTATGTTGTCATCTCGAATAGATTATATACCTAAAAGTTGCATAAATGAATGAAGAAGTAATTAGTGTATACAAAGTAGCTGCTTTGATTGTTTTTCTACTAAAATATCAATAATCTGGAAATTCTTCACTCTTTTTATTTAATCCAAATTTAAATGCAATATTAGTCATCTGATTCAAATGTTTAAATAAAAGCGAATTCTGTTTTAGACACCAGTAGCTTATTGAAGCATTAAAAAAAGTCCGCATATCAATTAACATAATATATTGGTTTTACAGATATCAACTTTCATTTTGAGAGTTGATCAATGAAAGCAAAGTACTGTGATGAGTTCTTGTTGACTTTAGGTTAATTACGGCCATGGTTTTCATCAACAGTAAAGTAATAAAGCACACAATATAGCGTAATTATGATAAGTTAATCACACTTACAGGGCACAGGGAGGAAATACCCAGTGTATTTCATTTCACATGGTAGAATTCATTTATGAAAATCTTGTCCCTGGAGGCAGTCCGGATCTTATCTATAATACATCCAGAGTTGAATAAATATTTATGTTAAATATGTAGCAATCATTGCAAATTGCCAATTAGAGTGAACATGACTTTATACAGAAGAGTGATACATAGGTGTAAGAAAAACTCCCAAAACCTCAAAATTTCTCTCAAGTCCAGACATTTAATTTTTTAAATATTTGAATTAATAAATAAACTATATTGAGAGATTTGAGATTGCAGGGTAAGAAATCTGGGACATTAAATACATTAATAGTCTCTTTATACCTTAGTTTAACTGAATTATTTGTCTCATTTTGCGTTGTTTATAACAAATAGCTAATTTTCTTGTACTTAAAAAAAGTAGATGTAGAATAGTTATAATCCCTTCTCAGATAAGTAATCGGGAACTCTACTTGCTTGCAATTGCTTTATTTTTAGATACTGTTTAGATATCTTAATATTTAGAATCCGTTTTCTTGATTCTTCATTAATAACTCCCAAAATTCGTTAAGAAAAAATTGGGAGTTTATGAAAATTCAGATCCCCAGGTCCATATTTATTTATTCCTTCTCATTTATTACATCTGAGGTAAGGCCCTGCCGTCACAAAGGATTCTAGTGCAGATTATCAGAAAACTACACTTTTAGGAACACTGTTTTTACACAATGGTCTCAGAACGTTTTTCTTTTATCATGCATCTCTAATAGTAAATATTTTTCAGTGCTTCATTTAAGATATGTATATTTACATTTGAAATACAAGCACATAACACTATCAACTCATGTATTTAATGTCAACAGAGCTTATCTTTTTAATAGAGAATATACGCTTGTTTATGTCTTATACTTATTGTTAATATTGCATAAATGTTATATTTATGCACATATATTCACACAATTATCCTTCAATATCAGTGAAGGATTGGTTCCAGGAGCCCCCAAGGATATCAAAATCTTTGGCTGCTCAAGTCCCTAACATAAGATGGGAATTGAGTCTGTGGACCCCAGTAACCAAGCAAGGACACATGACCAGGTCAACTTAAGCACATGCTCTTGCAAACTTTAAATACGCTCTAGATTACTTATAATACTTAATACATTGCAAATTCTATGTAAATAGCTGTTATGGTATATTGTTTAGGGAATAATGAAAATTCTGTGTATGTTCAGTATAGATGAAATCATTTAAAAAAAAATATTTTCAATCTGCCAAGTGGTTGAATCCAAGAATGTGGAACCCATAGATGCAGAGGGCCAACTATATTAAGCACTACAAACCATTTTTAGATAGCAGACTCAAACGGACGCTCAATGATATCTGTTATTCGGGTAGTTTATATTAAAGTTCCAATAATTTATGAGCTGATTTCATTATTTTTTGACATTATAAAGAAAACCATTTATACTGTTGGATATATTCTTCAAATAAATCTCATTTTAAAAGTTTCCCATTAGAGGAGAATTTTGATTCTATTTTCATCTCTACTACTATTTTTCTTCTTGAATATGGATGTTAAAGTGTAATATCTCTTTATTTTTTTAACTAGATCAGGGACAGCCCAGACATCTTGTCATTGACCAGTGCTGGGATAGCTTCATCTATGAGAATTCTGCCTTCAGGCTTAGTGCTCTGAGTGAAATGCAAGGTACAACGTTTCTACTTTATAATCTGTCATTCTATGTACTGTTACATTTCAGAGATAGTGAAGTATATGTTTACTCTCTTAATAAATATTAATACAAATTAAAAATATAATTTAAAAATTTGAAACATATATTAGTAAGTTGGTAGAAAAATATGAATAGTGTAATCTTTATATCTATATATATTCATTAGATTTCCATTGTTTTGCATTCCTTAGCATATAAGTCTTGCCAAATACTTTACCTTTGAAATTTTGAATGATCGAATACCACATCTCTTAATACATGGTTGTGTGAGTCAAGAAAGATTTTAGAAAATCATTAAAAACTAATGTGTTAAAACTACTGATACTTATGAAAAATAATTGTATCTTTGCAAATCTACTGATTCCATGCAAATTTGTTGTATAATGTTCATATATTTATTCTATTTATTAACCATACCACCTGCATATTGATTTATAAGGAAAAAAATCTAGGATATAATGAAGCTGATTAAAAATCTATAGCTCAAAAGTTATGAATTTGCTTAAAAGTAATAATGTTTTAAAATTACAAAGTACATAATAGCCATGGTAAATATGATAGAATCTGAATTATTTGAACATAGTTAATACAAAAATACTAACTTAAGTCAATAATTACTACTAACATTTTAATGAAAATGGGTTAGTGACTTTTATATTTACCGTGGTAATTTATATTAGCATCCTAAATTTCATTAATTTGGTTCATTTGATGCAACAACTCTCTGATGTAGGTGTTATTATTCTCACTGAATTAAAGAGTTTGCAATTCATAGAAAATAACTTACACAGAATCAAAACAGTTGCTTAATGGTAGAGCTGAACCTTCTCACATCTGACTTCAAGTCTTTGCTTTCTATTTCTTTGCAATGCATTAAGGGAGTGTGAACAGCAGTTCACAAATGAGAAAGTACAGATGATCAAATAATAGCTGAATATATGTTCAATGTCACAAATAATAAAACATGTTGCTTTTAACAATGTCCGCCTATATTTTTTCTTTTTTCGTAATGAGGTTATCAATGTTAATGTGCCTATGGTAAAATTAGAGCAATTAAACATTGCTTGTGGAAATATAAATTGCTACATAATTTCTGGAAAACACCTTATGTAAGGTATATAAAGAAATTTTGAAATGATTATGCTTTTGACCCAGTTATGCCAATTCTGGTGAGACCTTTTAAAGAAATAATTAAAATATGGTTTATATGTGAACAAATACATTTGTGATTGCATTGTTTATAATATCAAAACAATTGAAAACTGCTTTTAATGTCGAATAATAACTTTGTTATGTTTGTGGCAACTATTATATGTCTGCTTATACTTAACTGACCTTATCGATTAGATGCATGAGACATTTTCTTTTTCAAAATTTCTTCAATTGATTCTACACTTTCAGTGTCTTTCCACATTGTGAAATCAACTGGAAATTCATCTATATATTTTTTTCTTCTCTTTTTTTCTAATGAGGAAAATGTTAAAGGTTGATAAGCAACTTTTTTATTTACTCCTTTAATTCATCCATATTTTGCTTTTTTCTATTTAATGACAATCCATTTTTATTAATAGCCATCATTTAATTAGCCACTTTCCAATTTTTTGAATAATAACAATCATTTTGCTGCTATTTATTTTTGTGATGTGACTTATCCAATAACTCAGATCATGTATATTCTGTACCTTGGCTCTGTATTTCAGGTCTTATGCCAGTGCCAATTTCATTTTTTCTTCTATTTCTTTCTTTCTAGTGTCTTTTAAATTATTTATTTCCTACAGTTTCATTTTCTCTTTTATTTCTTTCTTTCTAGTGTCTTTTAAATTATTTATTTCCTCTTATCATCTACTTAACTGTTCAGGAAAAATTATAATAAATTTATCAAGTTTCAAAAACACTCAATAATTATTTAATGGCAATTATTTTAAACTTAAAGACAATTTTAGGGACACTTACATCTTTATGTTTAAGATTCATTTACTCAATATTTTGAAATATAGTATTTACAAATATAAATACATTTCATATTTGCATGACAAAAATTAAACCTTTCACTAGCAGTACTTTTAAATAATTCAATTAGCAATTATATATAATGCAACTTTTATGCAGCATAGCAACCAACATTTGTGTTTCCATTTTAAGATTTTTATCTTGTAAAAAGGAAATTAAATATACTTTATTAATTATAATTTATATTTTTATTTTTGTCATCAAATGTCTTTCAAATTTAAACCAGTTTTCTGCCAGATCCCTTACTAATCTCTCTAGTTTCTGCTCTGACTTGTTTTTTGATAAACAATGCACATTTTGCCTGTGCAGTAGATATGACAGCTCATCATGTGCTTCTTGCTGCTTTATATAATAAAATCTCTAAAAGACTTTGTTTATTTTCTAGACACTTTTCATTTGTTTCTATATTTTTACATGTTATAACATTAGTCTTAGGTGTTTTTCTGCTGATTTGGAGTACATAAACATTAAGAGTATAACAGAAATGGGAACTTGGCTGCTTATAATTCTATTGGTATTTTGGAGACATTGGGTTACCATTGGCCATATTGTAAAAAATCATCTCTAGGGATACTCTCATGTACCAGAAAAACCATTTGTACCCATAAAACTAAGTCTTCTTACATTGACATAGAGCATTTCCTTGGTGAATATTTGAGAACTGAAAGGTTTGTCTTATTTTTGACTAGTATTTACCTAAGTGTGCTGTTAAAAAAAAAAAAAGAAGAAGAACAAAAACAACTAAGTTCTATGTTCAAATGAATTTGAGTAATCCTAGACTAAACAGAGGTTTCTTTATAATAGGGTCTCCTAGGACTTTTTTCCCTCTCTAAGACTGTGTGTTTTTCCACAGTGAGGAAGGGATATGTATTTCAAAAGTATATATAGCCAAGAAATACACCTTTGTAAATATTACTTTCTGATGAACCGATTCAGCAGAAAAGTTCTAAACTTGCACCCTCTAATTTACCATATGATGTGACAAACAAAATTATATGCTAGGTATTAAATGGAGGCCCAGTGACAATTGATAAGACTAATATATGCTCTTCAAATATGAATGCTGCTGCTTCATTTTATGGTAGATGCCATTCTATTCACTATCCTAGACAACTCAACTTTGCCAAAATTTTAATCTATATATGACAAAAGGACTTGAATTAAAATAATTTCTGTAAACGTTCCTCATATTACCTTCTTTCACGTATTTTATGGGGATTTTTTTGTACTTAAAAAGTTATTTAATAAAATTGAGCTATATGTAATCAGATATTGATGTAGGCTAGAACTCTAGTCATTGACTCTATTTTTTCCCATAAGAGAAAGCACTCATATCCTTTTTTAATCCTTTAAGGAAATATATATTTCTATAAATGTTCTTCCTTGGAACAAGTTTCATACTATGCTATAGATAGTTGAATGCTTCGTCTTGTTTTTAGCAAGTTCATTGTTCCTTTTGCTGTTTTTCAAAACTGATGGCAAGAACTAGACAAGAGGGAAAAAAGAGTCATTCTGTCAGTCAATAATTTTAACCTGCCAGGTCTTCACTTTGAAACTTAATCTTGTCTACAGATTTAATTAGGTTGAGTAACCAGGAATGAGACAAGAGTATAGATGAATTGTGATCTCAGAGGACATGCTTCTACAAAACAAATTTATAAGACTTGCAGTGTTCCTTTTCTTTTTTAGTAGAAAGGAATCAAATGTCACTGTGGCAAAATCAAGATTAAACTTTGAGAAAAAAATTTAGCTCTAACATCTTCTTAGGTCCTCTGACTGTAACATTTGTAAAAGGAGGGAGGGTTAGCATTATTACATGTTAAGCAGTGGCACTGGAGATTAAGGTATTACTTTATAAATCTACACGTAGATATAAAATTAGATCTAGAACCTTAGGAGGGTGGCCAAGGCATGGGAAGTGAGCACTAGGCTTATAGTCAGAGAATCTGTGTTCTGGTTTTGACTATTACATGAATACGTTGTTATGTTAGCTTGGGCTAGTTTCTATACTCTCTGGACTCCATTTTGGACACTATAAAAAATAAAAATCATCTTTAAACCCAATGGGATTTGTTGATGAAAAATGACAATTGTGTATGTGAAGACATTTGTAAACACTAAAACTGTATACAAGTATAGGCTATTAGTATTATTTGTATAGCTGAAAATAGGTTAACTCCAAGATGAACTCGTCGGTTTCTTCAATTTTGTAAGAAACAAGATCTTGCACACTGCTAATACATGCCAGGAAATACATTTCTGAAAAACAAATGTAAAAAATAGTCATTTTTCTTACAAAAACTATTTGTTTTCTAAGTAAAACAATTATTAGACAAATGGTTTTAATTTTATAAATGAAATTACTCATTTATTAAATAGTTTTGGTATCTTGGTGAATACCAGCTTCTAAAAAAGTTCATTTATGAAAGAATAAATATGTCTATGGTTACATTTATGCCTATATCTAAAATTATTCAACCTTGTTCTTTTTGATATCCCTTACCCTTTATATACTGTACTATTCTCCAACATTTTCATTCTCAAATTCTCCCCAAATATCAATTTTTTAAAATATACTACCTTAACAATGTTTGGTATATCTTTGTATCATCTATATAATAATTTACTGAATAGTATTTTAATGGAAAACTATGTCACTTGCCATGAGCAGTAGCAGTGTACTCTGTGCCAGAAACAATTTTAAGCACTTTATAAATATTAATTGATTTAGTCCTCACAACAACTTTATGAGATAAATTCTCATAATATTCCTATGTTGGAGATGAATATGCTGAGACATGTAGAGGTTATGCCCACGATCATACAGACAGTACATGCTGGAACGCGGGTTTTAATTTAGGACGTGGACTCTTATCCATTATACAGTACTACTATGAAACATCAATAACTAATACAATAAAATTTTAAGACATTTGTTAACAGTTTTCCTGGAAGTAGACTCTGA